ATAAATAAATAAATATAGAATAATGGGTTTAACAACGCTATTACAAAACTACTCCCGCGTACGAATTATTAAAGTCTTTACAGGGTGTCCGAAATAGCTTGAAGTACATTGGGATTTTGGAAACCATCGGAGATGCAGGGTGGACCAAATGAGAGAAAAGTTGCGCAATCAAGTGCCTACAAATAATATGTCATCAGATATACAGAGCAAAAACTGAACAAGATATAAAAGATTTTATAAAACACAGTTTTTTCTTTTTGGCCCTGTATATATCCGTTGCTATTCCGAGTTCAAAGAAGTTGATGACAGATTATTAAATTTGTAAGCACTTGATTGTGCAACTTTTTTCCCAATTGGTCCACTCTCTATCTTGAATGGTTCCGGAAATCCCTATGTATTTCAAGTTATTCCGGACACCCTGTATTGGCCTAATTATTTTTTGAGGCAATCCTTCAGACTCAAAATTGATATCAAAGAAAAATTTTCTACAAATAACAGCAATGACCTCCGAGGTGCTTGAAACGTTTTTGAGTAGTGTTTATTTATAAAACGATTGGCCAAATTGCAAAAATTGTTATTTTTATTTCGATAACATAGATTAATTCTACTCAGAAAGTATGATTTAGAAATTTGAAAATAGAATTTTGACCAGGTTGTGTAGCAGAATAGGATTTAAAAAAACAATATATAATATTATTTGACTAAGGTCCTATACATATATTGCAGACATCATGGTGGATGCACTACACGAGCTGATAATTATCAAATCTAAACTGTTATTTTATAAATTCAAGAAACTGAAAAGTTTGAGAAAGGATGAATATTTTTGATCTAGGATTGCATAAAGCCCTGTAAAACCTAAGAAACACCAATTTGAAACCGTTAAACGCACAGTAAAATAAGGTAAAGTACCCGGTGTCTGTCATCAAAACAAAGGAAATGCACGCCTTTCTGGTTTACAATTCATGATTTCTTGGTGAATGCAAATAAGAGAACGGTTTTCTGGGTCTGAGAGCTGGCGAGTCATCAAAACAAAGAAAATGCACGCCTTTCTGGTTTACTATTCATGATTTCTTAGTGAATGCAAATAAGAGAACGGTTTTCTGGGTCCGAGAGCTGGCGACGGTTTTATTATGGTATTTTAGCAAGGTTGATGGTAGAAAAAATTAAACCAGCAAATATAACAACAATTTTGGTCGATATTTATGGCTATCGACTATCTAGGACTATGATAGGGAGCTGCCATTTCAATACTGCACATCAAACCATAGCTATAAAGGAATGATAACATGAAATAAGGTGCTTGAAATTTCTCTAAATTCTCCAGATTCCGTCATACAGACAACAGTCTCTTGTGCAGGTTTTTCGATAATTTCTTGTCTACAATTTCCGTAAACGATACAACTTAGAAGTGGACGCTTTTTTACAAAATCACGAACGATCTCCAGTATGTGTGTGCCTTCGCCATTTGTTATAAGATCTAGATTTGTTCTTTCTATAGAGTAGAAATCAATCGAGAAGAAGCCACACACGTTATCGTTTGTCTCACTTTAAATGAAACGGACCCAGAGAAAAGGAAATCTGCTTTCTTTGTCAGCGCTAACGACAGTGGCTTCTTCTCGTTTGATTTTTACTCTAGCGTCATAGATAATTTGGCCTCTTTGGTTGGGTGTTTTTGGCTAGCTGGCCCCCTAATCGGACATAAAGAGAGTATCTGGTTGAGGACAGGGTTGACGTCTTGTAGATCAAAATCTTTATTGGTTATTTAGTTATTAAAGTTCAACACTCACTGCTACTGATTCTAGATGGGTATTTACCAGTAGCTGGGTACCTATTGTTTTTTTTTTCAAGGTTGAAAATGGGCTTCCTCAAGTCCAATTACGCAAGTATTGATTCCATTAACCAGTAACTGCAGTATTTCAAGGTAAGAAAAATATTCAATCATATGCCATTGCAAGATTGAGCGATTATAGGCTAGTTTGGGTTAGTAGTAAAAGTAAGCAGTTTTGTGGTATATTTGAGACAAAATTGAAAATTAAAAACTAGCACTACTACAGCACGCACGCAAAATCTGACTGTTTTCAGCTCTTATTTATTTATTTACTTTATTGATTCATTTTTCAGCAATAGAAACATACATTTTGTACATTCTAACTTACATAACCATTAATAACATGGGAAAGCATTGTAATATAAACATCCTCCACTGCTACATCACTATATCTGACAGTCCATTTCAAAGCTTTTTTTCGTCCTTGACGCGAGCCGCTCATATACTGAGATTCGCTACTAGAAATCTTCACCATAACAAAACTCGTCAAAAATTCCAGTCACCGGTCATACACGGGCCCTATTTCTTCTTTGACGTTCCTATTTCTCCTTTGACCGTTCACATCTTGGCTCTGACTTCTTCTGAGATCATTTGTATTTTATATTTGATTTCTTTTCAAACTGTTTCCTTTCATCTTCAAATTCTTGTGAAATGCTCTGGGCCACACTAGCAATATCTTTCTGTCTTTGTTTCCGTTTTTCTTGCTAGTTTTTCAGTCGTCTATTTTTTTATTCTCACTAAATTTTCTGGAGACGATCCTTTTTTTTGGGTTATCTTCAGTTTTTGATTGACTCTTCTCTTCTACAAGTCATTAGGCTTGATTGAATGCTATCTTTGTTATTTTATAACCATAGAGTAGAAGAATAGAGTGCAGTTAGACCCGAACGTGAATATTCAGGAATTCTCAATTAAATGGTTTTGTATACAGGGTGTCTGGAAATAAATGCATAACAAGTGAATGTTTGTATGCTTTTGTAATGTGTGCTTATTGGGGGAAAATATAAAAGACGAACAGCCCGACGCGGGCGCCAAAGTATGCGAAAAATTTCCTAGAGTGCTACGCCCAAAAGTTTATTTTAAGGCTTCGAAAACATTTTTTTTTCGGGTGCCACGCCGAAAAACATTTATGTATTTTAAGCCTTACAAGAAATAATGTGTGGACATACCGTTAATAAACATAGTTTAATAAACAAATATTACACCAATCATCAAAACATAAACTATCACCTTTCTTTGATTGAACTGAACCATTTGCCGACAATGCTGACTTATGATAAAGAATAAAGGCTGAAGAGGTCAATAAAATAAATGAGAAACAGCATAATTTTATAATTTCTTATTTTTTGCTTTTGTTTTTTAAGAGCGGTAGGGGCGCCACACGTTTAGGGGCGGGGGGGGCCGTCGCCCCCCCTGCCCCCCTACTGGCTACGCCACTGTTTTACACCAAACAAAATCCGCATAGTAGCTGGATTGACACGAGATTGGTGTAGAATAATATATCGCAACAGTGCATGACATAAAAGCTTTTGCGAATCCACAACAACATGGAACAAGAACAAGGCAAGAAAGCGATCAATTATTGAAACCGATGAATAGTGACATCAGCATCTCACACAATTTCAATTTTCCAGAACCAAAAAAACAAATATTTTTGAGCTTTATTTGTCTTTCAGACAAGCAAATAAAAAAAAAATCATGGAATCTTGGATTTTTGGTATTTTCTGCTTTGCTTCTGGTTTGGCTTAATCGTCTGTGGAGTGTTAATTGAAGTCCCGTTTGACCGGTGGGCTGCAAATTCTCGAAATGCTTGGTTTATTGTCCGTTTTCTGCGAGGATATGAGTCCAATTACTCATGGTGGATGGCGGAGAAGTTTTCAATTCCTGCTTCCATTCTGGTTGATTTGGAGGATGGAGCAAATATAAGCATTGCTAGAATACCAAATATAAAAACGTCGCCTGATGTCAATTAGAAAACTCGTTATAGATGAAGAAGTTTGAAAGTTGTAATATTTGGAAGCATTTTACAAAAAGGTTAAGATATTCTGATCCCAAAGATTGTTGTTCTTCCAGTTTTTCAACAGACTATGTAGGTAAGGTACACACACTTAAAATTAGAGACATAGTTTGAAAACTATCACAGCCAAAATAGTTGTTTAAACCCCTCCCAAGTAAAAGACTATTTATTTTAGACTTAGATCTAGGCAGGGGCAGCCGTTTTAAATCTGCAGACAGTCTGTTGCGGAGAAGGGGAGCATAGTGATTCAAGGAGAATCGTGATCTGATCACCCTGAAAAAACCAAATCTAATATTATTGCCATCTCTAGTCTGGTAATTGAGTGTGGCAGTAATTTAACTATAAAACTTCCACACACACACACACACCATTAATCACTCAGCATTGCCTTAACCTTCCTCTAAATTGCGGGTTTCTATGTCTGCAGCGACTTCATGTGTCACAAAATCCAATCAGATTTCTGTCAAGCTAATTTGCTAATCTTGCTATCGATGATCATAATATGGGACTTTAGGTGTAGTTTAGGGTGATGAAACGGTTGTTGACAGTTTCAGACAAACTACAGACAGGAGCTGTGGTTCTAGCACAATAATCTGTTAAGCTCTTACATATTCCTGCTTTGTAGTATATTTTGTTAAGTTTCTCAGCAAGTCTTAAGAACCGCCTACAGCAATAGTATATGGAAGGACTCAGGCGTGGTGGCGTGTTTCCGCTCTCTGGTGCATGGCATTAGTTATCAAGGAGATTGCAAAAACGCATTTGTTCAGCTGGGCATCCTGATATTCACATGTATCTACATAATACATTAAGGTGTATCTACAACAGGAGAAGATCAGTTATACGAGCAATGTAAGAATGCCATCTGAGACAAAACATCTTGATTGGAAGTCATTTAAGAAAAGTATAAAAAACGTTAATAAAGTCTACCACATCATAAATAAATTCCTGGAGGACCTGGTAATCTTGATAAATCTCTACTAAATCAAAATCATCCATATACAAACATGATTGTTGAATAAATACATTTACAAATATTGGACGCGAATCTACCAAACCAGCAGCACCTATTGTGCTTGAATATGTAGATAGAGTCGACCAAGAATCATTGAATTTTATAGGAACAGATGATCCAGCAATTTCAGGATCAAACATTAATCACCTACCCAAGCAAGTGTCTTGATCACACACGTCACAATCTGACGGACCAAGGATGCTAAGTATTGAATCCCATTTTGAATTGAGATGTGTAGTTCTCCAACCAACCTCATCTTGAACTTCTGGATGCAATTGGACTAGTTGACTAGCTTGATCGTTGAACAATTTCAGAGATGAACTTTTTTCGAGTACCTTGTCAACACAACGCTAAAATAAAAAAAAAGGAGTTAGTTTGTTATAGAAATTATAATATCAACAAAATTAAATTGAATATCTACAGGTTTCAAGCATCACAAACAAAATCATAATTGAGTTAAGTATCTGCCATTGCATTGAATAAAGTTGGGACAACAAAAAGATCTGACCTAAACAATAGACTAAAAGTGAAACCAGAAGTTGAGAATCCAAAGGAAGCAACTTGATTTGTTTATATTCTGGAACTTTTATTCTTTCATCAAAGTGTATTCAAGTCAAGATGGACATCTTAAAAATCATTTAACTGTTACTAGTTGTCAAGTCAATAGTGGACGCCAAATGTTTGACACCTTGCAAACCATAACATGATGCTAACTGATGTGTAAGAATAATTAAACACATTGAAAGTGCGTAGTATTATAGGGCTGTTCCAAAAGAAATACATATTTTACACCCTACCAAGGAAAAAAAAGGGTAGACAGAAAAAATAATGTGAGGAGAAATAATTTAATACTTACTGCTCGTAAAGCTTTGTCTGTTATATTTTCTTCTTTGCCATATATTGTCTCTTGAACGGTATTTAACCATGAATACAGTTCAGAGAATTGGGCATAAAATTCTTTCAAAGTCCAAGTTCCAGTGTTTATAGATAAATCTCCATTGAGTTCCTAAAAATATAAAAGTACATTAACAAATGGCACAAAACATCAATGAGCAAAAAGACCTCACAACATCAAAACCAATTTTGGACAGTAATTGCAACTGATAAATTTGAAAGGTGCAGGCAGCCTTTCCATCAGCTAGTTGAGATTTTTATGAAGAGAAATTAGAAATTGATTCCATAAATGCATATACAATATACAATTCATTCGCCATACCATCAGGAAGAAAAACATAAATTTACCTGGCATTTATCTATAAGCTGATTGTCCATTATAAAGTTGTAATTGGCCTGTAAAGCAGACCAGAACTCCTCTTTGTGTTCGCTGGCAGTACTTCCCCATGATCTTCTAATGGCTGTTGCTTTTACCCTGTTTTTCGTTAAACTGTTGTATCGTCGATGTTTGACTGTTCTATCTGGTGTTGTTTCCCCTGGTGTGTGTTGGAGTGACGACAAGGAAAAACTGTTTTTTAGTGAATTGTTCTCGAAATCTGGAAAGAAAAATAAGAATTTTGAAATAAAATTGTAGCTCCACTTGATAACAAAAATGTTCAATATTAAACTCTAAAGTAAGAAAAATCAAAAATCAGCAACTTGGAAAAAATCATATTATAATTTAGTTTTAACTTAGTTATTACCGCCTCGCCTATTTTCTAACTTTCCATATCATTTTCAGTCAAACTGTTTTATAAAATGAAAAATTTTGAGCAGAATTTAAATTCACTAAGATAAGGCCGTTTTCGACTTGTCAGCTGTTATTAAATTTATGCTTGATTGAATCGACAAATAAACGTATTAAACTTCCAAATAAAGTAACCCTTGATCTAATCAATCACGATTGGTGCAAATTGAAGACAAATTTTGGGCTACAATTTGAGGGTAAATGTCTGTTTGTGGCCAGAAACGTACCTGTAAACTATTCCAACCTCTTTGACCAGACAAGACGTTTTATCAAGGTGGCTATGAATTTTTGCAAATAAAATTTGAATGCCTATATTGGATACTTTATTTTATTCAGCAAAATTCCAAACGGTCATGAAATGAGTCTTCTAGTTGGGTTTAGTATTTTTATATTTATCTATAACGGGAAAAGCTATCAAATTTATACCAATCTGTATCACGTATATGATTTAATTAAGTAACTCCTTATATGATTTCTGCCATCCTGTGTCAATAAATTAACTCAATATTTAAAGATTATCTGTGGCTTTCTCATAGGTAACTCCCTCATAAAATAATAATAGCCCTAGGCGATATTTCCGCTGACTCTTAATATTAATAAAACCGTCTCATTGGGCGCCTCAGACTATTATAAGGTGTTTATTTTAGTTAGTATAGGCGCCAAAGTGTTTTAAACAGAAAATTAAACACTCAAAATTTCGCCTAAAGGAACTGTTTCCGTCTGAAAGCCTACGACATTCCAAATTCCTTGGAAACTATTTGATCTTTTACAAACAAAATTTTTATTTTGTTTTGTAGTTATTAATAACACTCTTGGGCGGTATGCACACATTCTGGAGTTTTTTTAAGTACCTACTTTAAAATGTGGACGAAAGATTTTCTGGAAGATTTCTGTCTAATAATAGAAAGTTTGAAACTCACCAAAACTTATTTTGATTGATGATGAATGAGTGATAATTTGTCAAACGTAGCCATGAAAATCAAAATGTCATTGCATAATGGTGATTATTAAAAAATAATAACAAAATCATTAAGAGCCTCTCAAAATATAATGCCATTGAGCAAAGAAGAAGACGAGATTAATGAAAAGTGTTCGACGTGCTTGAAGAAGTGGCACAAATATATTATATTAAATTTAATTGCGGTAAACGTTAGTAGTAAATCAACAAATAATGGTGTTTTGACATCTCTATACATCCTTTAAAGCTCATCATAATTTTATGCCAAAGCAATTCCATAGTAATATTTGAAAGTGTCACAGATTGAAATTTATGATGAAAAGTCTGCATCAATTTTGTGTCTAATATCTTGTTGTAAACGCACTTTTTTAAAACTACTGGCAAGTGATAGTAACTTTCAGCATAATTTACATTAATTTTAGAGCCTCAATGGTATCTACTGAAATAATAACAGTGGTCTGTTTCCACAGAAATCACAAACCAGTCAGAGCAAATTTCATTGGTTGAAAATAGTCAGGAAACTGGTTGTTGGCGATTTGGACCAATCAAAAACACTGACTGGTTTGTGTGGAAACAGACCTATGGTGGATGAAAATAGTGCAACAAGACGACTGTCTTAGTTTATGCGACAATTTTTTGAGAAAAAACGATCCGAGATGTCACCTGCAATGAAGTGTACCAATATGGGAATTTGAAACACCCGAAACCCCATCCAGAGAATATTGCCATGGCACTGGAGAACGTTTCAAGAAATTGAGCTAATAAAGCCATTACATCGTTTGAAGATGTGTAAACTACATACATACATACGTCTCTGAAGATCTTGAATAAGTACCAGTGAAGTTTGATAACAAATGAAATAAACGATCACGAATATTCATTCATTCAATATGTGAATTCTGAATTCACCAACTACTGATAATGCAATAATACCAAACCGAATATTCTCATAACAATAACATTTTCAGTTGTCTGATCTAACATAATCCCCCCGGCTTTCAACAACATAATCGTGTTTATTGAATTAAAATACCAGCATGGCTACAGGTACCAGTCGCAATCAATGGGAAAATAAAAATCAAACAAGATTTCATTATTTTTTCCAGCATCTTATAATATAATTTAACGAACTCTCAGATCAATTCTACCGATAGGCAACAATAAAGGAGAGTCATATAATTACTTTTCCAGAAACCCAGTGAAATAAAAATCTTTTGATATATCTTCTATAGTACCTCCCTTCGCATGCGATGCCTTTGAGCCTAGCGTTTGGATTGATTATCGAGCATAGCATATAGGAGAGCCATACCTATCTGGTGTCTTTTTTTTTATAGGAAGGCAATTTGCAATACATTTTATATTTTATTACCATAAGTTTATGTCTACCAGAGAAAAGTTGTCCTAGAAAATGTAGGTAACCTCTCGACCAAGTAAAGGTCGGATCCTAGTAAAATATTTATTATCATGAGAATATAGAAATAACTTGCAGTTTTTAAAATGTAAGCCAGTGCATCTATGTTTCACTGAAGGATGCAAGATAGCCTTACAGAAAGAAACTCATACTATAGGTATGCATGTTTTGTATTTACATCATATTTTCAAAATAATTAGTATTTTTAGAATGGTATTTATCTACATCTTGCAGGTTATAATTACTAGAAAATGTAGAAGAAAAAATGTAAAATAAGAATATCTAATAATTACCGATAAAAGAATTATTAACCTTCAGAAACAGTGTTGTTTAGTTTATGAATCACTAAGGCTGCTATACTTCGGCAATTAGGCCACATCCTGTGAAACTAATTCCGATTGAACCAGACATAATGTACATCAATAATTTACCATTCAGCACACTCAAATTAATATGCAAAGAGGGCATTTTTTCTAAAATTCTCATATTATTTTATTATATTCTTGTTAATAATTAAATGAATGAACTTGCTATTGTATGCGTTCATAAACAGTTAAGAGGTTTAATTTCACCAACACACAGTTATCCGGGCCATCATGGTGTTCCTTCAACATTTTTCAAAACAAGTATTTTCTGAAATCTTTTATATAACGAAAGCGCGGTTTCTCAAAGAAAATTAACTAGAAGAAAAATTGCGAATGGCAAGGTAACACCGCTCACGTACACCTACGTTTTGTCCAATTTAAAAAAATATCCCAATACGTTGGGGCAATCGAGCTGAACAATTTCATCAAATTATTTAAATGGCCAAGTTATACAATGGTTTTTACTGTCACTATCTAGTTATGGGCCTTTCCTAGTTTCCCATAAAAGGCTTTATATGCATCAACTTTCAGATTAGTCGGTGCCATTTTGTATTTTACTCTTAAATCTTGGAATCAGGTCGTCAGCTTTTTTTTCTGCCATTGTATTCTTTATATGTGATTGGTGTAGCTTATATATGGAATCTCAAGATACACGGACAGTATTGGGTCTTTATTTACATCTTGACATGTAAATTGTGAGTTTTGTAAAACTGAAAATATGAAGAAAGTGGAAATTCTCCATATAGACAATGATGAGGACTTTCGCCTTTTTTTAAACAGTAGAATAAATAACGATTTTTATATAACTGGAGATGGATTCAATAAAGGCAATAAAAAATACAGATTCTTCTATGCAAAATAGCTTCAAATTAAATTAATAATACACCTAGGTAAAGTATTTAATAGCAAAATAAAACAAATACTATGGGCGCTTTCTTTTATTCAGCGGTGGATCCATCAGTAATCAGCCTTTCTTTGTCTAGCTCATAGAAAATAGGAATGTCTGTCTTATTATGATGGCAGCAGATGGATGCATTGCTGAATAAAAGAACGCGCCCTATGTTAGGTCATCAGAAACATCATTTTGAGACATGAAAGAATAATTCAGCTTAAATGAAATTTGATTTGGGTAGATTAGCCATAGCAAGAGAGATGTTTCACATCACTTTGGTATCATTCGACTGTAGAAAGTCAGTAAAACGTCTCAAATTGTACCCTCGACTGCAATAAAATGTATATGGTACCTTTGGTCATAGTAGAGAGCTTAATTTGCCTATAAAGTCGCATTTATCGATTGTTCAAAATCAAAAAATAATGCACTTAGGAAAGTCCTGCGTCCTTTCATGGGGTTTCGAAGAACCTAATACCTACACAATTAATAGAGTTGAATCAGTAATGGTATCTAAATCCAAAATAAGAGCTCTAGGTGCAATAGATGATCGGAAGTTTTGACAAGGAAGTTGCCAAATTTGGCATATTTGGTTCATATTATGAAATAAACCGTGGCTGCAATGTATAAATAATAGCGGAGCTGCAATTATTGAAAATTCATAAGAATTGTGCACTCTGTGCTAAGTTTTCGAAATTTAGTATAGTCTTAGGTATGGTCGTAAGGTTTTAAGAAACCATCGCAAGCAACTTGTGCGCGACTTCTGGGGTCCTGTTTGCTATAATATACCAATATACCCCGCCATCTTTATTGGTTTTTTTAATAGATAGGCTTCTTAGTCATAATATATTATTATAAATAAATAAAAAACTAATAAATCATATTACCATTTTAGTATATAATTATAAGAATAATATGATAATGACGAACAGACATCGTGGGCCATGTACCGACGTCAATTCGAGACTGTTGCAATGGCTAATAGTTGGAGATCCGATGACATGGCTACAGGGTTGATTGTAGCATTACGTTTTCCTGCGTTAAGCCAGACCTATAAGAGGCTCTTCCGCCAGCTTCCCAACAAAACTATGGTGCGCTTGTCGATGCCTTTAGAGCGTCGTTATGGAGATCAACACCAAAGGCAGCTTTACCAGATACAACTAAGAACTAGGCAACGAAAAGCTGCAGAAAGTATATAAGAATTTGAAACCAACACTTCCGCCTGGGTAATTTGGACTATCCGGAAGCAGCAGAAGAGATGCGAGAACCACTAATGGCCGAAAACTTAACATAAATGGAGTGCGAGATACAGAGAACGCTGCTCATAAGCAGCGGAGTCCAAGGCGGAGTCTTGATCAAAGCTCTAGAAATTGAAGCGGCATAACATCTAAGCCAAAGATCAGAGCTGTGTCAATGAAGGAGGAAAAAGATCCAATGGGGGGAAATTGCGGACACAATGAGGGAAGTTCTGGAAGAAATGCAAAAAATTGGTTTCAGAAGCAATCAAGGGAACTGGAAAGGGAGCATTGAATGGTACCGCTGCGGTAGAAAGGGACATTTAACAAGTGACTGTAGCATGCGGCTAAGATCTTGCTCTCCTTCTGGTGACTATATCAACCTTCAAAGAAGAACCAGCTACAATTAGCCAACACGCAGAGGCGGGTGTTGGCTAGTGCAAGTGAAGCACCTGGAATCATAACCATCAAAATGCTAGGAAAGACTGCGGACAGTTTGACTATTGAAGGAAATATTAATGGGAGAAATATCATTATGACAGTGGACACAGGGGTAGCCGTAGTATCTCTACTAAATTCGAACATTGCAAAAAAGTTCAATGCACATCCACTTCCAAAGGGAGTTATTCTACGCACAGAGACTGGAGAGACCGCAAATGTACATGGAGAAACAGAAATTGACCTGACCACCGAACCAGTTATATGTGGACAGTTGGAGAATAATAAAGTGGTATTACTCAAGATTTTGTGTCTTATGGAAGAGGATCTCTTTAAAATACCAATAGAGATGGGGGCCATATTAGATTTATAGCCAATAGGCCACCAGAAGCGGCGCACAAGTTGCTTGCGATAGTTTCCTAAAACCTTAAGACCGTACCTAAGCCTATACCAAATTTGAAAGACTTGGCACAAAGTGCACGATTCTTATGAATTCCTCCTATACTATAATACAAAAATATAAAAACATATTATTATAGTACAATATTTTAAAAATTTGATAGCCTTTATTATTTTATTACGCCACACGCAAGAGCAAAGCTCAAGCTTCATATAATTGTTTACCTTTCCATTTTTACAGTGTACACACATACAAAATAGCTATTAAGCTATAAGCTTCAATATTTATCATCTATTTATTTCACGGCCAACGCTCTAGCATTAAACTGAATTAGATTTTGGCCAAAGATGGTCATGACCATAATTACCATACCCAAAAAGGGCAGCTGATAATGCTACCTTTCAAATGAGTTATTAAAATATTTTAATACAGTAGATATTTTATTAGTTGAACATAGGCGGTCCATTCAGTTTTTTTTTCTGTAGCGGTTTCTTGGTCTTGATTAAACTACATTAAAATACAATATTTAATACCTTTCTAGCCATTGGGAAAAAAATTAAAATGGCAGGTTTACTTTCCCCTTACTTGACGTGATGATGGGGTCTTAAATGTGTGATTTCAAGCTTCCTTTCAAGCTATAAGGTATTGCAAAAACAAGATACTGAAACGGTTAGATCAGATTTCAAATCAAATAGCATTTGAAATTGAATCCATTAATAAATCACATCTGTCATATATCACACCTAAGTACGTGTTTTCAATAATTTAGAACATACTTGAACTTTCCTAAATAATTCCATGTTCAAACGCTAATTTGTTTGTAGCCTTTCCGGTTACAGTGTGAATTATGCGCTACATTCTATTAAATAAAGCCAATATGGTCATATAAGATTTTCCAAGCAATATACCTACATAGTTTATTATTTAGAAATATTCCTAATAATTAATAAATATTCTTAACCGCATATTGAATGCTGTTTGTATGTGACACACTTCCCAAGATCAATGCATAAATAAAGTTTTTCTTATATTTTAAAATAATTGTCAGTTGACAAGCCCATCTAGCTCAAAAGCTTGAATAAATAACCTTAACTCACTAACTGACTGAGTTCAAAGTCATAATATCTGATAAGTTTTAGGTGTAGTTTGTTTGTTCATATTTTTGTCACACAAAGCAAATATTAATTATTTGCTTCAAAAGGATGATATAGCTTCAACGTATGAATAAAAATACAATTAAATAATAATGTCACAACCTCTCTGGTGACGGGGGGTGTAGGGTGGATAGATGGAGAGAAACTCGCTGACGTTATTATAAAAATATGTATATTTGCCATAAATCCTCCAGGATGCATGCTCTTCCGTGGATAGGGCCACACGTTTGACGCTACTTAGGAATGTCGGTTTATTGTTACTAATGTTACGTAGAGGGGCTTTCCCGGGGTGGCGGTACTTGCACTGGGGAGACTTGACCTCAGAGGGGTGCTCCCAGGGTCGCGGTACTAACACTGGTACAAGTCTGTCTAATGCTCGGCTTGGCCCGCTATTTATATGTTTAAATGGCCGAATTGCAATAAACATCCAACCGAATCGGCAATTAAATTAATTAGGTCGAATACCAGGCCCTCCTTTCCTAAGTAGCTAGTTGACAATATGTATTTCATTGGACATGATATTCAGATTATACAAGATAATACAGGGTGTATCAGGTTTGAGTACAAATTTCAAGCTAAAACTATCCTATTAATCATGGATCAATTCTTGGTATTTTCAGAGTTATCCCAGAATTAAAATTTAGAAAAATTTTAATAATGTGACAACATTGTACAGATATAGGTTTTTTTTTTGCAAGGATTTTATTTTCTCCTGTAAAAAATGTGCCGATTTTATAAAGTTGTGAATTGCACTAAGCGCATTCAAGAGAAAAATTAATATCAATTACTCAGCTACTGGTCAAATCCTGATTATGAAAATACTAATTTTTGTTACGAGGCTTTCAGAACACTAAAATCATCGTAATTGAAGATAGAATACTCTGCGCAGAAAGTTCCCAATAAAAAACCAGATCAAATGTTCAAAGTGTGCACTATAAGCGTTCAAACGCCCTCGACAAGGACGAATACAATTGTCACAAACTGACT